AGATCAGCTAATGGCTTGGAGAATGGAGATGCGCCTCCCCTCGTTATTTTTTATTTTAATCAGAACGCACCGTTTTATTTTTATTTTATTTCACCATGGTTTTATTTTATTTCATGTTTTGCTTATGAAAAATGATTAGTTAAGCTATTTTCTTTTTCTTTTTCTTTTTGAGTAACACAGAAACAAATTAATATCAGAGCATCCTTTGTTTGTAAAGGATATTTTAATAATTAAGAAGTTAAGTTTTTATGTTAAATATTTTAATTTTAAATTTAAAAATATGTATGAAAAAGAATTAAAAAATAAAAAATTATTTTTTATTTTATAACTTATCATTTAATATAAAAAAAGAAAAAAAAAACTCTCTGATATTCTCTATTTCAATTAGGTGAGAATACCTTCCGCTCATATTTAAAAATCTTTAAAATGTCTTTTTAAAATGAATTAGAAATATATTTTTTAAAAGTTAGACCATAAGAGAATAGCATTAATTAGTTCACATTTAAATATTGACTATGGTTAAACCAAAATCATGTCTTTTTTAGTCAAAGTGCATGCAATCCGATCGAACAATAAAGTATTTAAATACTCTTAATGACTTTAACAATAAAAATATTTTAATATTTTTATAATTCATACTACAACTTTTTATATATTTCAAACTAAAAAAAAAAAAATGCTCAGCTAAAAGTAAGGGGTCATCTTGCAGATCTTAGTAGTATACCTGGTTTTTTTTTTTCCACACATTTAAAAATTTTTGGAGAAAATTCTAATTTTAGCTCTTAAATGCCTTTTGAATAAATTTTGTTGAAAAAATTAGGATTCATATTTTATACACCAAAAAATTAAAAAAAAATTTAATTACTTATTAACGCGAGCAAAAGGAACTTGGTTTCTTTTAAATAAAATTTTAAATTCAAGTCTAGAGAAATAAAGAGTTAGAGTTTCTTTTTTTTATAAATTTGATGCAATTTAATTTCAAATTAATCAATATTTAGTTTGATTATCAAATACCAAGAATTTAATATAAAAAATATATATTCTATACACAAAATAGAAATCCCAATATGAATAGAACATGTAAGTAAAGAAGTTCTACATCGGAATCCTTTTCCGGTACCTAGTAAAGTTCATACATATAGTAATATACCTTACTAAAATATTGTACGCAATCTGTAAATCGTATAACCACAGCAATTCAAAAGTAAGATAAAGGATTTCAAAGTTTCAACTATTCACTCGGACAGAAGCCATGGCCAGGTGGAAAGAACTTCCTCTTGATGTAGTATATGCAATTAGCCAATGTTTGGAAATCGTACGATGACTATACGTCCGATTTCGCGCAGTATGTGTTTCATGGAAGTCCGCAGTGGCAAAGAGCCCAACTCGCCTTCTCCAGTGCCACTGCTCATGCTACCCTTTGACGACGAAAGTGAAACATCTCGAAGTTTCTACAGCATTCTTGAAGACAAAGTCTATCACATAGAGCTGACTAGAGGCAAATATTTTTGTGGATCATCGGATGGCTCTGGAGAAAAGTCCAGCATTGTATCTCTTCAACCCTTTAACCAGGGTCCAAATTTCTTTTCTTCCTCCTGTGTCGAGCTTTCCAAATGTGGAATATTATCCAGACAACGTTGATGAGGAATATGCATTGCGAACTCTAGTGGACATATATGTGCTTAGGACAGTCACGCCGAGATGCAACAGTCATTCATACACAAGATAGTTCTATCTCATACTCCCACCTCTTCAAGCAATCGTCTGGCAGCAGCAATATACGGTTACTACCAATTGGCCTATTGCCGATGCAAAGATCAGAAATGGACAGCATTTGACAAAACAAAACATGGCTTCGAAGATGTCATATTCCATGGAGGAAAGATCTATGCGGTAATGCAGAGTGGACCTCTAATAGTTGCTGAAACGGATTCTTTTCCATTAGAGTTCGTCCCAGTGCCTGTAAATCTTTCAAACATTTCAGAATTTTCTTGGAAATATCTTGTTGGATCAAGTGATGGATTAATGTTGGTGTCTAGGTTTCTCCACTCCGGTCCGTATGTTTACAAGACTGTTAAATTTTGAGATGCACAAATTAGAGTCGATTAATGGAAATCTCAGTTGGTCCAAAGTTACAAGCTTGGGTGATAATGTGATATTTTTAGGGGATAATAGCCCTGTTATGGTATCATCACGATATTTTCAGCGGTTCAAAAGGAAATTGCATTTACTACACAGATAATATAAAAGATTTTCATTCTTTCATAAAAATTATGGAGGTTTTGATATAGGTATGTTTGACATAGCAGAGGGATGTATTAAAGAGTTTAGGGAACTGAATTTAAGTAGTTAACTAGTTTGGCCCCCACCCATATACCAAGGATGGTTCATGTGTTTTTATTTTAATCGATATCAGAATTTATTTACAAAAAGATCAATGTTATAACATGTTTCAAATTTTCAATACATGAATGAAAATTATTCCTTTGCTTTTCTTGATCTGTTAATGACTGAAACTAAGAGGAAAGAAGGGAAATATCTTTCATGCAACCAAATTAAGACATAAACCATACAGGCTTTGGGTGCAAAGTTAGTCTGGGATCTTTTCAACAGAAGATGTTACATGATACATTTTCAACCATATAAATTCCACCTGCATGCCCAAAATGTAACCATGTTAAAACATGACAAATTGAAAAAACAAATTTCCCTGCTTTTCTCAATGGATTTCAAGTATCATTAAACACAAACTGAAGAATATATCTCATTCATAGCTTTCATTACATGTTCAAACAAATCCAGCTACGAAACTGGAACAAATCCAGCTACGAAACTCCAGTTCAAACAAATGGTGAACCCTTCACCATTTAGGGGGTAAAATATATATGCTTCATCTTCTTGATAACATAAAACAACTTCCATATCGAAACACAGGGATAGCTGAGTTCACAGTGTAGACATGGATTGACAGTTAATGCATATCTTAAGCTGACTGCTGACTTTATACGTAGCTGTCAATTAATGATTTTCTCATTTCATCCACAATGGCAGTAGGTTGGGCTTCCCTCAACTTGAAAACACTCTCAATGACAGAAAGTTCAGTTGCAGTAGTGTCTGCACCACAAAATGCTGTCCAGTCATTCACTGTCATACCAGCAGCTATCACCTCACTACCACGGTTAACAGTCCCTGCCACCAAGGGTACCTGGAGGAGTGTTGAAAGTTCATCCAAGTCTTCAATAGAAGTATGGGGGTGGACCTACTCATAAGAAAAGCATGAAGTTACCATTGACATAAAAGCAATACCATGTCTTTCAATAGGTGCATTAATGAACAGAGCATATCTTTTCTCTTACCAAGCCACCTCTGTTAGAGAAGGCACAATAGCTTCCCACAAGAATATTTCCAGCAATTGTCTGCCTAAAAACTTCTACTCCAAGAACATCAGCTACCAACTCTTCTGTTTCCTGAGAAATATACCACAACGGAAGATGCATAAGCACCAAGAAAACTATCATAACGGGAAAGATCAAACTGAATATTACACGCAATACTGGCATCTGCCTTCATTTCTGCTTATTTTGTGCTAAATAAACGATCTCAAAAAAGTATGCATAACAAAATGCAACAAGAACATAATTCATTCTATACCATTGCCACACCAAAGAAAGCTTCAGAAGGACACACATCAAACAGAAGAAACATCAAATCTGATAATTAAATAGACTCATCATCTTACCCTGTCAAGATCAGTGTGTGTAAGAGCAACATGATCATTGCATGCTATGCAATTCCCAAGGGCAGAAAGCTTTTCATCAACACGCTGGACAACAACTTGATCGGGCAGGCTGTTTCTCAACTGTTGAAGCTCTTCAAAAATAGATATCACCAAACAAATAAAAGTCAATGATTCACTTCAAAAATGGAGATGATGGGTGAAAAAGGCAAAAGCATTTGTATTACAACGAAAACAAGTTTATGGGTAAAGTATATCAATAAACCGGCATTGAGCTATGGTAATTTAACAACTAAATGCCACATTATATACATGAGAAACTCATCTAAAAAAAAAAAAAAATTCATAAGAATTTGTAAGTTATAAATCACCTTGGTCGGTTGTGGTGTGTGGCAAGAGAAGCCCATTTTTGTTCCCTGCCATTACAAGGAAAATGGCAGAAGTAAGAGACTGGACGCACACAAGTAATGAATTTCAATTGCAAAATAGAAACTAAAAGTAAAGCTCACCAGCACAAAGTCTACCAATGATCCTAGTCCCAGCAATGGAGGTTTTAACAACAGGGATGTGATCTGCTAACTCCGCCTCGAATGTGCTAGTGCATTAAAAACAAACTTTTTCATTTCCTTCCCCCACGAGTTGAATGAAAAATCAAAGAAAATACACAGAGAATTAAGAACCTGTAGAAGCTTTCTGATCCTCCAATTGCAACTAAACAGTACGCGTTGGTCAATTTGGAAAAAACTCCAACTTCGCAGGAATTCTCGAACATAAGCCCTGCACAAATCAACCCCCAAATTAAAACTCAGAAAGAGGGGAAAAAAAATCCAGAAGCTCCTCCATTATCGCAAAACACTTGATTTAGAAGATAATGAAGACTCACTTGTTGCCATGATTGAAGGAAAATCGAACGAACTGAGGATGAAGAAGAACAATAAGAAAATCCCCGAAATGGGTTTCGATTTAGGAGAAAAAGGGTCCTTGTTTGCTTTGATTGATTGGAGAAATGTGAATCAGAGTCGCCCGATTAGGGTTTTAAATTAGGGTTCTGGTCCTCAGAAGGAGCAGAAAATATCCGATCCAGGGTTGCGGGACCGCTTGCGTTGTGGACCCGTTTCTTGGTGCCCAAGTGTGTGTCGTGGACCCGTTTCTTGGTGCCCAAGTGTGTGTGTCAAGTTGGACTCAAGGTGTTTGGTTGGTTTTTATTAGGACTCCCAACATCGCCCCTTTTTTTTTATTAAAAAAGGTAAATATGCTATATTTAATCTCCGATCATTAGCGCAAATACTATAAATTATTTTAATTTTTCATTTAAAGTAGAAATAGTTTTGATCCCCACCTTACTCCAGTAGACACAACTTTTGGTTAAAGTGAGAATTACTTTAAGTGGACATGTGTTTAAACCTCATGGATCTTATTTTTTATTTTTTTTAATTGCCATGTTCACACAAAAAAAAAGTAGAAATAGTTTCAAATCTTTTTAAAATTATCAATCTTAATCCTATTATTAGTTTTTCCATTAAGTTTTTACTGAAAATTTTAGTTCAAATTTTATGAAACTAATCCAAATCTTATAAATTTTCAAGTTTAAGTGTTATAAGTTTTAAGATTGACTTTTAATATTGGAGCTCTGTTAATTAGAAGAAAAAAAAATAAAGATTTAGAGTTGGCTTTTTATTTTTTTTTAATCCTATAAATTTGGAATTTGGTACACTTTCGCCTATTCTGATGGTCTTCGTGGGTTACACAAAATTCTAACTAGTATTTTTGTTAGGGCATAGCAAAAGTGACTATATGTAGGATTAGATCGGTGATTTAGAAAAAGTTAGGGATTATTTTTGGTTTAAATGAAAAGTTGAAACAATATTTGGTACTTATAGTAAAGATTGAGAACTAAATTTAGTATTTATTATTAAAAAATAGAAAAGATAAAAAAAGAAAAAAAAGGAACGTCTTTTTCTCAATTTATAAATCTTTCAAAAAGAGACAGAAAAATTCTATTTAGAATCAAAAGTGGTGAGAAAAGTCCCAAAACACATTTATGGGACCAGGAAGATTGGCAGGTCCAATGGGTAACATATCATGTTCTTCATAATAAACAAATAATACTTTCAGAATCATGTATGGTTTCGGGAGCTTTCCTTATTCTTAATTAATTTCTAAAAAAAAAAAAAAAAAAAACATTAAGAGGGACCCATCACATACTTATCCTTAATGATTTTATTAAGGACAAAACTTAAATAGTTAAATCAAAATAAGGGATTAGTGAAAGGAAGATTCTGCTGCTTTCAAATAAACAAATTCTATTCAAGTGGTAAGCAAAAACTTCATTGTACAAAAGGAGAGATACACAGATTACAACATTTGGCTTTCCCTTCCTGTTAGCCGGCTGAATTGTACAAATACAACCTCAGTATACTGAATAAACAACAGAATTACAGATTGAAAATTTCTCAAAAGGGGAAAAAGATACAATGCCAAAAGGGAGGAAAGTGGAATGAAATCTACAGTTTGAGTCTTAAGGAGCAAATGTCAGGGCCACCTTTTATGCTAATTCTCAACTCCAATCATGTTGTTAAGATTGGTTTTCATTTCACCTGCCAACTGCTCGGAGCCCCCACCCTGTAAGATAAGTAACAAAAGCACGAGTTGCCATAAGTTTCAATGCTGATCACCAGAACCATAACAATGGCACTTATTTAAACTCCATCTTCAATTCAGGATGGTTGTCTTACGGTTATCAAAGTATATCATATATGAACTGAATCCCATGTAATGCTTCATGAGGAAAATAAGAATGACTAGAGAAATTATGCAGAGATCATTTGACACTTCAGCTAGAATTCACCCTGCAGGAAAATCAGATCATTTTCTTCCCAGCAATGCTATAAATCAGGCTTTTACATAGTCTGATCCATTTCGTTTCCTTTTGTTAGATTTTGAAAAGAAGCACATCTGAGCCCAACTCTTTTTTGGCTTCACAGGTGGCGCCTTTACATTTCTTTTCTCCACAAGATCAACCATGTACCGAACAACTGCCTGAGGAAACCAACAGTAGTACAGAATTAGCCTAGTATAAGAACCATCTACCCATTATTCATAAAAAGTCAAAAGCAACGGAAGCATTACCTGTGCACCCATTTCAGCAACATGTCTAGGAGGCACTTCCAGAGGATTTCCTTCTACACACAGGACCTTAAGTCGTGTTAGCATCCTGAAAGAGTCTGGAAGGGTCTGGATCTGATTATTGCTGATATCCAGCTCCTCAAGCAACTCAAAGTTTCCTATAGATCTTGGTAGGGACCTCAGATTAGCAAAATTGTTTCCTATGTTCATCTTGACTAGTGAAGTGGCAAAACACAAGCTCTCAGGTACAGACTCAAGCTCATTGAAACTCACATTAAGCTCCTTCAGGTTTGTCAGAGTTGACATAGTTGTAGGCAACTGTTTAACGTTGTTATATCGCACAGACAAAACCTCTAGAGTTGCTATCTTCCCAACAGCTTCTGGTAGGGCTTTAACCCGGTTATAATCAGCACGAAGCTCCCTGAGTGAAGCACACCGACCAATAGAATGTGGAATTTCTTCAATGTCATTTGTCTCCACATTCAATATCTTCAGACTAACAAGTGAACCTATCAAATCAGGGAGGGAACCAAGCTTATTTGAGCTCAAATCAAGCTCTTGAAGGCGAACCAATCTACCAAAAGTAGCAGGCAGAGACGACAACTGGTTACCCCTGAGATCTAGACTGAGCAGGCTAAGGAGGTCTCCTATTGAATCTGGGAGTTGAGCAATTCTGTTTGAATGCAAATCAAGCTTTGTCAAGGATGAAAGGCCTCCAATTGTGTCTGGCAATGTAACAATCCGATTCTCAGATAAATCAAGTGTAATCAAGGTTGATAACTTCCCTATAGAGTCAGGAAGCCACTCAACTTGATCTGCTAACTTGTTTTGGAGGTCGAGATCCCGAGTACCCTTCTTTGAAGAGATTTCGATCAAGCTGGCAAGCTTAATTAGACTCAACTTATCACCACCATCTTGACCTGCACAGTCCATTTCTAACATTAAGAAAACATGTCTCAAGCAGAAATAGCATATCGTTGCATATGCAGTATACAGTTTGAGCCTAAATAAAATCCTTAAAAAATGATAGAAAGATCCATCCAATACAAGCAGCATCTAGGACAACAACATTTCTACCAACAGTTGCTATAGGAAAGAGTATTAAGAGGAAAAGAACTCGACCTGAACCTGAAGCACTCCCATGTCGGATGGTGGAATCCCATATCTGAGTTGAGGACGAAATACTACTAGGTCCGTCACTGTAAAAAGATGACTTGGTCTTCCTCACATAGCTGTCATCTCTAGTGAACAATTCAGTAGTCTTCGCCGGCCCCTTCTCCGAGTAGAAGGAACTCGAACTACTTGCAGTGGCAGCGGATGGCTTCAGGGTAATGGAAGCAGAAGCGAAGGTCTTGGGCAAACTGGAAGTAGAAGAAACCGTGGAAACAGAACCGCTGGAATAATTATGAGAGCTGGACGACCACGACGGAGGAGAAGTAGAAGACGGAGAATTGAGGCAATTGTTGGCTCTCTGAATAAATTCATCGAACAGGGCATGGAGGTTCTCAAGATCCAGCAATTTCAACGCCTCCCTCTTCTGCTCCTTACTGTGGAAATAAACCAAATTCTTCCGCATCTCCTGAAGCACCATGAACAGCTCCTCGGGAACATCCGGACTCTTGGTTTGCCTCGCAATAGCTTCCAGTCTCACCTGATCCTCCTTCTCCACATTCCGAATCAACGTTCTCGCCGCTTCAACCTCGTCGATCTCAGGCCGCGGCGGCAGAGATCTATGGATTCTCATGATCTCCTCCACCGCTTCATCTACAGATTGCACGCTCAACTCCATTTAGGTTTCAGATTCCGATTTCCTGAATTTCCACAAACCAAAAAAGGAAAAAAAAAAAAATTAATCCCCTTCGATTCTTCCCCAAAAAAAAAAGAAAAAAGAAAAGAAAAAACTGAATCTGGTTTCCACAACTTTCTAAAAACGAAACGATTCCTCCTTACCTTTTTCTTTCTTTCCCGAGCATTCAATTACACAACCGAAAAAAGACTCGCACAGTAACCCTACGGATTCTCGGGAAACAAACAAGCCAAAGAGAATGGAGGAAGGGGGTTTCTCCTGAAATCCAGAGTGTCTCACTATCCCTCACGCCGCCTCAGAAATCCAGCTGTTTTCATGCTTCTTCTCCTCCTCCTCCTCCTCCCTTGGCGGATTCCGCATTTTATATAATTTTCACGTTTTTTGAAAGTAAAATAAATCAGTAAAATTTCATTGCGTGAGAAAAGAATCGACAATCCGTAAAACGTGAGTATGGAAACTGTAAATTTTTATTTTGGTTTTTTTTTTTTTTCCTGAAAATTCGACGTAAAAACCGTGAATTTGGATTGAGACCGGTCGATTAACTGAAGGATGGGGAGGGGGGGTGTCTCGGCGGCTCCGAACCTCCGTCCATCGTTTTGTCTTATGCAGATTTTGTCTGATTTCCAGATTTATCCTTACGCCGCCTCATTATTACTAATCACTGCCATTCGGGATAATATTTCTTTCCCTTTTCGCTCGGTTACTACGTCAGCCCACTTGGGAAGTGAATTATTAATTGAATTATACTCTCTTTATTCATTTTAAATGATATTAATTTTATTTTTTAATTTTTAAAACATAAATTTTTAAAAAAATGTAATAATTTATATAAAA